ACTTGGACTTGCGCTTAACTGACTTTTGACTCGACTTGGGCTTACACTTAACTGACTCATAATTCAACTCTTAACTGACACATTACTCAACTCATGTTTAACTGACTCATGACTCATCTCAGACTTGCACTTAACTGCCTCATGATTTGACTCAGACACTTGTTTAACTGACTCACAAATCAGACTTATGCTTAAATGACTTGTGACTCAACTCTGACTTGAACTTATCTAACTCGTGACTTGACTCAGACTTACGCTTAACTGACTTGTGACTCAGTTCAGACTCATGCTTAACTGACTCGTGACTCAACTCGGTCTTAGACTTAACTGACTCATAATTCAACTCTGACTTGTGATTAACTGACACATTACTCAACTCACACTTAACTGATTCTTGACTCAACTCAGACTTGCACTTCATGACTTGACTCAGACTCTCGTTTAACTGACACACAAATTAGATTTGCACTTAACTGACTTGTGACTCGACTGGGACTTGCACTTATCTAACTCGTGACTTGACCCAGACTTACGCTTAACTGACTTGTGACTCGACTCTGACTTGAACTTATCTAACTCGTGACTTGACTCAGACTTATGCTTAACTGACTTGTGACTCAGTTCAGACCCATGCTTAACTGACTCGTGACTCAACTCGGCCTTACACTTAACTGACTCATAATTCAACTCTGACTTGCGATTAACTGACACATTACTCAACTCATGCTTAACTGACTCGTGACTCAACTCAGACTTGCACTTCATGACTTGACTCAGACTCTTGTTTAACTGACACAAATTAGACTTGCACTTAACTGACTTGTGACTCGACTCAGACTTGCACTTATCTAACTCATAATTCAACTCTGACTCGAATTTCAGCCAGTAAAAAACAAACAAAAAAACAAACGAGAAACAGATTGAATTAGGACGGTGATCTTACTGCAGTAAACAAATAAAACTTTTGCTTCCAAGCTTCTGTGTGTGTGATATTGCCTTTCAGTTTGGTCATGCACAGTGTTGGGTTTTGAGGGCATTGCATTATGGGTATTGTAGTGAATTTACATTACTACCTTTATAAATGCTGCAATGTAAAATGCTCTTTTGTTCCTTTTCCCATTAGTACTCTCGTTTCTGTCGTTTTGTAAGTGAATTATCAGCATCTTTCTAATAGTACGTGAGTTCATGAGTATTTTAGGCTGCTTTAGATTAAACAAAAACATCTGAAACTTATAAAAGACATTTCTTGTTTATTTGAACCTTTAATAGACGTTATGACTCACTAATAAAAGTTGTTAAGCTCCAACCCTGTGATGATGTCATTATTTTTTTCTTCAGATGATCTGTTTATTTCAGTTGTCCCAGCTCAACCAAAGGCCTCGCAGCACCAGCGGATCCTGAGGCAGCAGAGAGTGAGAGTATGTGTTTCAGAGAGAGGCGGAGTTTTAAAGCAGCACAGTTACACAAACGCTCTTAATGGGTTTGGTCTAATTCCTGCCGTCGCTGCGCTGGGGGGCTCCGCCTGCCCTGAGCGGCTTTCTGTCGGAACAGGACCGTCATACTGCCAGGTTAAAATTAGACCACACAGTGAGGGGCCGGGACCTGCTCCTAAACGCACTCTGTAATAATGCATACGCTCAAAACTGTAAGTGTGCTTGTGTGTGGGGCAGAAATGGGCACTTGAGTCAGCGACTCAAACTCGAGTTGCATTGACCTGAATCGTGATTTGACTTGGACTCACACTTAACTGACTCGCCAGTTGACATGGACTTGCACTGACTAATGACTCAGGCTCACATGTAACTGAACCTTGACTTGACTCAGATTCAGACTTAACTGGCTCGTGACTTGACTCAGACTCACACGTAACAGAATCTTGACTTGACTCAGACTCATGCTTAACTGACTCATGACTTGACTCAGACTCACACATAACTGAATCATGACTTGACTCAGCCTCACACTTCACTAAATCGTGACTTGACTCAGGCTCACACTTCACTGAATCGTGATTTGACTCAGACTCAAACTTAACTGACTAGTGACTTGACCTGGAATACTTAAGGGACTACTGACTCGACTTGGATTCACGCTTAACTTGTGACTTGATTCTGGCTTGTATTTAACTGACTCATGACCTGATCCAGACTCACGTTTAAGTGACTTGTGACTCGACTTGGCCTTGAGCTAAGCTGACTTACGTGACTTTACCAGCTAAATGTATTAAAACAACCCTTACACAAAATGTACACACACACACACACACACACACACACACACACACTCTACTTGATTTCCCCCGGCACACCTTCCATGATCTGTGGCTGTTTGGTATTTCTGAATGTCAGCTGCATTATGGGAGATGTAGTTGTCTCTGGTTCTGCGGTCATGTCAGGGGCACCAGAGGCAGCAGCTGTGCTAACCGCTGTCATGGTTTTTGCCGCGGTAACTGTCTCCATGGCAGTCAGCACTGGTGGAGTTGCATCAGCTGAGGGAGATGTTATTCATTCAGTTCTAAATCTGGATGAACCCTTTAATCTGCAGGCTTATTATTCAGCTGATAATCTTAAAGGGTTCCGTGTTCCTCATGTTCCATAAACAAAATCAAAGTTTCAAAGCGCACTGTTCGCTGCCCAGTCCACGCGGTCCAGTTAGGACAAACTGAGCTGCAAAAACAGGATGTTTTGAATTTATTGTTTTTATGATGTCACAAAAACCGCTCATTTGCATTTATACACTTATACACAAAGTAGTGTTTCAGGCAGGACTACATTTTAAATGCTACCTTACAAGGTAGCCAATCAGAACAGAGCTCATTTATATATATCCGTTTTAAAGGCAAAGCAACAAAAAGAGCCTGTTTAATAAAAAAAAAAAGGTTGAAAAACGTAAAGATTTTGACCGTTTCCGCAACATACAACACAAACATTATGAGTGGATCTTGGGGAAAAAGTAAAAAGCAGGTGAAATCAATTATTCAGTAACCACTATGAGTTATTAAGGAAATACTATGGATTATTCAGTAACCACTATGAATTATTCAGTAACCACTATGAGTTATTCAGTAACCACTATGAGTTATTAAGGAAATACTATGAATTATTCAGTAACCACTATGAATTATTCAATAACCACTATGAGTTATTAAGGAACCACTATGAATTATTCAGTAACCACTATGGATTATTCAGTAACCACTATGAATTATTCAGTAACCACTATGAGTTATTAAGGAACTACTATGGATCATTCAGTAACCACTATGGATCATTCAGTAACCACTATGAGTTATTCAATAACCACAATGAGTTATTAGGGAACTACTATGGATTATTCAGTAACCACTATGGATTATTCAGTAACCACTATGGATTATTCAGTAACCACTGAATTATTCAGTAACCACTATGAATTATTCAGTAACTACTACGAGTTACTTAGGAACTACTATGGATTATTCAGTAACCACTATGAATTATTCAATAACCACAATGAGTTATTAGGGAACTACTATGGATTATTCAGTAACCACTATGGATTATTCAGTAACCACTGAATTATTCAGTAACCACTATGAATTATTCAGTAACTACTACGAGTTACTTAGGAACTACTATGGATTATTCAGTAACCACTGAATTATTCAGTAACCACTATGAATTATTCAGTAACTACTACGAGTTACTTAGGAACTACTATGGATCATTCAGTAACCACTATGAATTATTCAGTAACCACAATGAGTTATTAGGGAACTACTATGGATTATTCAGTAACTACTATGGATTATTCAGTAACCACTGAATTATTCAGTAACCACTATGGATTATTCAGTAACCACTATGAATTATTAAGGAACTACTAAGGATTATTCAGTAACCACTATGAATTATTCAGTAACCACTATGAGTTATTAAGGAACTACTATGGATTATTCAGTAACCACTATGGATTATTCAGTAACCACTATGAGTTATTAAGGAACTACTATGGATTATTCAGTAACCACTATGGATTATTCAGTAACCACTATGAGTTATTAGGGAACTACTATGGATTATTCCATATAATAGAGTAACGGATGTAAGTACTATAAACTATTTAGCGCTGCAACAACTTTTTAGTAACTGCTATGCATGATTCAGTAACTACCACCGTTATTCATTATTCACTGTGTTATTATTCAGTATTCCTACTATGAATGCAGTCAGTAATGCTGCTATAACTGTCAGTCCTTACCATGAAGCTAATGTGCTTAACTGTGCTGTCCTGTTTAACTGTGTCCTGTAGTTCTGAGAGTGAGGAACTGAAGTGCGGACCCCCCATATACAGACCCTCACAGTGTAAAGGATTAAACACAGTCAGTTCTGAACAGCAGCAATGAGCGCGCTGAACAGAGCGGATTATCTCTGTGATGTAGCGTCGGTATGAGTCGTGATGTGTACGTGGTCATGCAGTCAAACCCCCCCCCCACCCCCAAGAGAGCCCACCTCAGCTCAGCGAACACGTATGTATATGTGTGTGTGTGTGTGTGTGTGTGTGTGTCTGTGTGTGTGTGTGTGTGCGTGCTGTTTCCGGATCTCTCTTTCAGAGTGTGTGGAGCTGGGGGCGTGTCCTCAGAGAGAATCTCTAATCACACTCCTTCTGTTCCACCCCTCCGGGGATCTCTCCATCCTTCCTCTCT